ATAAAAGGCATTAAAATGCAAAGTTACAATAATATAATCTGCATAATATGCCTAGCAATTAGTATTTTTGAATTTCTAAATGTATGGCATACATTTGTATTCCCTATTGATGTTTATGATATGTAAGTTCAATTAAGTTATGTTGAAGAACTATAAATAAAAAAGAAGAACACAGTATGTTCTCTGATATTTTTTAATTGTAAGCTTATACAGGGAATTTTATACCATAATTTCTCATTTTTTAACCCATGCCCATGTATCATTAAATATGTATTTCAAACCATATGTAGAGATAGTAGCTATATGTAAGTGCAGACACTCTCCCATTGCCCTCACAGCGTGTGTGTGTGCTTTTTTTTTTTTTTTTTCTTTTTCTTTTTTGGGGAAGGACCTGAATTTACACAATCATTTTTCTTTAGTTTTTTAAACAAATCAAAGCAACCTGTACCATTAATAATTTCACTTATCTAAATGACTTCCTACCAATAATTAAATTTAACTGTTTTTTTCTACAAGAGATCATTTGGATGGCATGAACCTGGCATTTCAATATATAATGAATTAGATTCATTTCCAAAAACTAATATTCGTCAATAATACTCTAAATGATAACCTAATGAATACCCTATTCTATGTATAGTCAAAAAATAGGGGGAAGGAATGTAATCTTTTGTAGATTATGTACATTTAATCTCATTTGATCTATACCCTAGCCTTATAAAAAGGAATTAGTAATAGACAGAACATGGAATTGATCTCAAATATGTCTGACCCCAAACCTGTACTCTTTGAATTAGATCACATAGCAAAGATGAATATTATTATTTGGCCCAATTTGATACTCATTATTCTTAATATTTTTCCAGAATATACCAAACCTAAGTTTAACAAATTAATAACTACCTCTCATCCATATAGGAAAGTAAGGTATTTGAAATCTGTCAGTTGAGTTATGTAACAATTTGAAATTTAAATTTCATGTACTTTTTTTAAATTTTAGATTCGGGGATACATGTGCATGTTTATTACATGCATATATTGTGTAAAGGTGGAGATAGGGTTTCTAGTGTACTCATCACTCATAGAGTGAAAATTACCCAGTAGGTAATTTTTCAACCCTGAGCCTCCTCTTATACTCCCCCATTGTAGTCCCAAGTGTCTATTATTTCCATTTTTGTGTCCATGTGTACCTGTTCAGCTCCCACTGATAAGTGAGAACATGTGATAGTTGATTTTGTTTCCAAGTTAGTTCACTTAGGATAATGGGCTCTAGCTCCATCCACATTGCTGCAAAGGATATGATTTAATTCTTTTTTATGGCTTCATAGTATTCCATTATATATATAATTTTATATTATATATTATATATTTATATATTATATATATCATGGAATGTGTGTACATATACACATACACACATATATATACACTATATATATACACTATATATACAATATGTATACAATAAATGTTATTGTGTATATATACAAAAATGTTATATATGCATGTGTGTGTGTGTGTATATATATATGAAACATTTTCTTTATCAAATCAAACACTCATGGACACTTAGATTGGTTCTATGACTTTGCTACTGTGGATAGTGCAATGATAAGCATACACGTGCAGGTGTCTTGTTTATAGTGTCATATGCTTTATTTTTTACTGTAGTAAATGAAAAATATAGCCCCATCAAATCAGAAAATTGAATCTTGCTTGAGGACAAGAATTAAAATTATTCTTATATCATCAAAGTCCAGGGCTTTCTTCAAATGTAAACTTTTGTTTTTTTTAAAAAGTGTGTCCTTGCCGTTTTTACATACCATCCCTTATCCCCATAATTACATATCACCCTTAAAATATGGCAAGACTCTCAGAAAAAAACATGGACATACTTAGTAGCCTCTGTAAAATAATTTATTTTTAGATGTAATAATTAACAGCAATACATCTATAATATTAAAATTTACAAATCGTTGTTGGAACTAAACAATTCATAGGTAACCAATAAGGGAGGAAAGGAATTCGAAAGCAACCAAGAAAAACAGCTATAAGAACATGGAGATATACTTCATATTCAATAAGGTGGAAAAATTATTCAAAAAAACATGATAAATATAAAGGATGAGTATGTTATAATATACATGTGCACATATTAAATGTTTGAAATCACAAATTATGATTTATTTTCTCGACTCAACTGTTACCATAGAATCATAAGAAGGAAGAGAATCTTGATTTTTCCATTAGAGTATACCATGTTAGATCTGGCAGATGACTTTTCACTTTTTATAGTGCTCAAAAAAATGGTACACTTCCCTTTGCCTTTTGGAGACATCACTGACTTTAGTATTCAGAGTGGTAAAATCATGATATACGAATTCTTCCCCATTAAAACTCAATTATCCTATTTACTTGATTTTTGGTCCCTTTCTTCATTTTCCTTATTTAGATATTAATCTCTACTAAACAACTGTTACTCTATTTAAAAAATTTAAGTCTAAAGCTTGAATAATCACAGCTCTATTAATATTGGATATTAGGACCTCTCCTCAATTTTTACTCCTATGTCATATCAAAAATATTAGTATCTTCTTTGAGGGAAATGGGAAAATTATGTGAGTTTTAAAAGGGGGTTATATTTCTTTCTTAAATTAATATTCAGAATGCCCCATAATTCTGTACTCATATACACATTTCTCCTGTACAATTTAAAAATCTGTTTTTTAAGATTAATTTTTTCAATGAGTCTTCTTAGAATATCTTTCTTTGGAGTTTAGGAGTTAAATCCTTTCATTAAATGTTTAAAAAGAATATATATTCTGATGTCTTGGGATAGAACGTTCTATAAATGGCAATTAGGTCAAGATGGATGAGAATATTGTTCATGTCTTCTAAATCCCTACTGATTTAAGGCTACAGTTTTTAAAGGCTGATAGGGAGGGACTCGATGCCAGAATCCTGAGGGATAAAGTAAGGTAAAAAAGTGTGTAGAAAGAGTATAGATCAGTGCTCCTCAAACTTTAATATGCATATGATTCACCTGGGGAATTTATTAAAATTCATATTCTGCATTTTATATCAGAGATATAAAAAGAATCCTGTTTGGGCATAGAAGTTGTTTTCACATGCCTCTGAGATACTTGCTTCTATACTAGCACAATGGCAGGCATTGCTGGTTGTCCATCCCATCCCCATTCTTCTCTTTTTCCTAACAGCAATCCTTTTTTTATTTGGAATGGGAAAATGTCACTATAAAAGGAAAAAAATCCCTCACCTTCCTAGCCTCCCTTGTAGTTAGGGTGACCATATGGCAAAGATCTGGCCAATGGCATTCAAGCAGTATATTTTGCCAGTATAGTCTGCTGGTTATAGTTGGAAAAGCATTTATTTCTCCCATGTGATAATCTCACTTTCCTATTTCATCTTTCTTTATTCTCTCTAATTAGATGGAAAATATGAGTCACGAGATGTCACAGACAAATTATTAGAACAAAAGGATGGCAAACAGAAAATAGTGGCCTGGGTACTGGGTCACTTCTTTGAGTAGCTGCCCCAGTCTGAACTGCCTTCCTTTTCACTTTTCTATTCTTTTTCCTTGAGATAAATGAACTTCTGCCTGTTAAAGCCACTGGCAGTCAGAGTTTCCAGTGCTTATAGCCAAATACCATTCTAACTGATGTACTCACCAATGATAATCATAACTTCCTTTCATATGACACTTTATGGTTTCTAAAGTACTTTCCATACATTGTCTCATTTAATCTTCACAACAACCCAGGGAGAAGTCTGGGCATTTGTCTAATTTTTTACAGGTTAAAAATTTGAACGTTTATGAGCTTAAATTATTTGTACATTTAAGTGACACAGCTAAGATTAAAATCCAGTCTCCTGTTTGAAGAGTAAGCCCACATTCCATCTCTAAGAATCCCCTACCTTCCATATATTATGTAACCTGAGAAGCAGAAATGATAAAAGGCGAGCAAGGAATAATTGAAAACCTAGATAAAACAGTATTCACACATGAAGGCATCAGAACTTGAGTCACCAGTGAAATGGATCCATTAAGAAGCTATCCTGGACCTTAATCTAGGAGTGCAGATGCCCTTCTCTCTAGCCAAGAGAGCTCATTTAAAGACTTCTCTATCCTCACCCCAGAAAAATCCATAGAGGTTTGCAGAAATATTCCTTAGTGGGTTTTCAATTCACAGCATGAAGAAGGGCATTGGCTGATGCATGAAATACCACTACCCGTAGGCTTTGCTTGTTTAATGAAACAAACCCATCAGGAGCCCGAAGATGATTAACCATATTGGTGGAGTGATGGCAACAAAGGCTAACTGTCTAACACCCCGTTAACAGTGGCAGGGCTGAAAATGCTAGAGGCCCATTAAGAGGGTTCGCTGACAGCCAGCTGTACTTGAAGACTTTCTGCAAAATGTGAGCTGGTGAAATTTCAGCAATGCCCCCAGAATCAGAAACCCTGAGACAGAGTCCTAAGGATAGAAAATTCTTATTTGCGGAAGAAGGACCTAGAAAGTCTTTGTGTCCTGAAGAAGTTTGTGACCAGGAAATTTCATCGATATAAATGTGTTTTGAAGAAGGAACAGACATCACTGTTCAAGGGGTAAGCTTTTAGATGTCACTGATTACTTCATACTGCTATCAGAGTCAAAGAAAAACCCAACTGGACTCATGCTTTTCCTGTAAAGCCATTGACTCAAGAAGACTGATATATGACTCCCACAAAGAACTTGAAATTAGCTCCCTAGAGAATCTTTTATTTCCTAGAATATCTGAGTTTGCTAGAGTATCTAATGCACTCAACTTATTAGGTGAGTGCAAAAGTAATTGCAGTTTTTGCATTGTTGGAATTTGCCGTTTGATATTGGAATACATTCTGAAATGTCGTTGTTATACATCATTTTAATGAGCTTTTCTCGCTTTATGTTTGTTTGCTAATGACTTATTACTTGTTGTTTATTTTATGTGTATTTTAGACTATGGAAATGATGTTAGACAAAAAGCAAATCGAGTGATATTCGAATTCAAAATGGGTTATAATGCAGCGGAGATAATTCACAACATCAACAATGCATTTGGCCAGGAACTGCTAACAAATATGCAGTGCAGTGATGGTTCAAGAAATTTTGCAAAGGAGATGAGAGCCTTGAAGATGAGGAGCACAGTTGCTGGCCATTGGAAGTTGACTGCAACCAACTGAGAGCAATCATCTAGCAATCCTCTTACAACTAGCTAAGAAGTTGCCGAATAACTCAACGTCAACCATTCTTTGGTCATTCTGCATTTGAAGCAAATTGGAAAAGTGAAAAAGCTCAATAAGTGGGTGCCTCATGAGCTGAGCGGAAGTAAAAACAAATTGTCATTTCGAAGTGTCCTCTTATTCCGTGCAGCAACAACGAACCATTTTTCGATTGGATTGTGATGTGCAACGAAAAGTGGATTTTGTATGGCAACTGGCGATGACCAGCTCAGTGGCTGAGTTGAGAGCAACCACTTTAGGAAGCTCCAAAGCACTTCCTAAAGCCAAACTTGCACCAAAAAAAGGTCATGGTCACTGGTGGTCTGCTGCCATTCTGATCCACTACAGCTTTCTGAATCCTGGCTAAACCATTACATCTGAAAACTATGCTCAGCAAATTGATGAGATGAACTGAAAACTGCAACTCCTGCAGCCGGCATTGGTCAACAGAAAGGGCTTAATTCTCCACAACATTGCCCGACTAAATGTCACACAACCAATGCTTCAAAAGTTGAACGATACCACTGCACTCCAGCCTGGGCGACAGAGCAAGACTCCGTCTCAAAAAAATAAAAAAAATAAAAAAATAAAAAAGTTGAACGAATTGGGCTACGAAGTTTTGCCTCACTGCCGTACTCACCTGCCCTCTTGCCAGTCGACTACCACTTCTTCAAGCATCTGGAGAACTTGCAGGAAATGTTTCCACAAACAACAGGAGGCAGAAAATACTTTCCAAGAGTTTGTCAAATCCTGAAGCAAGGATTTTTACACTACAGTAATAAACTTATTTCTCATTGGTAAAAATGTGTTGATTGTAATGGTTCCTATTTTGATTAATAAAGACGTGTTTGAGCGTAGTTATAATGATTTAAAATTCATGGTCCAAAACTGCAATTACTTTTGCACCAACCTAAGAAAAAGGGATATTCTAACAAGCTTGCTACTAAGCAAGTAGATTGCTTTGCTGTCGTATTCATACTATTTAATTTCTTAATTCATCCTATTGTAATTTTGATAATTGCTTTGCTTTGTATTTTGCTATTGCTCAAAGAAAAATAGATATGGCAAATGGCATTATTTAGAAAGTTATGTTATAAACTAGTAACAAAATGGGAAAATTGTAAAGGTAAAATGGTGAGATTTTCTTTGAGGAGAAAGGCTGTCTACCTTCCTCTTATTAGGGTGTCTCTTTGAAAACATAATAGGCCTAATAGGAGACATGACCTTTTGATTTTACAATGCAAGGTATGGACCTTCTGGCCTTTGGAGGAATAATCACATTCCTCCAAAATGAACTCTTAAGAGGTGTACAGGAGACTATCACGAGGTGCATCTATTTGTCTCCTGAGAAATTAAGAGAAGATTCAATTGTTCTTTCTTCTACCTTATTGTATAAATTTGTTTGGAATTCTGTCCAGACTTGTGGACACCTTTGTGCTATCTTTTTATGCACGTAGAACTGTAATTATTACTAGTAAAGAGTTTCCCCTCGCTCTTTAAATGTCTCATTTGAGCCTACTTATTTAACCTACCCCAATACAATCATTAGGGATTTATTTTACGAAAGATCAAATAAATCTGAGATTCTAGCCCTTGTTTAGAATCAGTATGCATATTTTCTTGTGAAACTTGTACCCTAAACAAATTCCAGAATTCTTAATCAGCATTATGTGTGAGACAAGCAAAAACAAACAAAAAAAAACTGCCAATGTATGTATTTCAAGACATCCCTAGAATTCTGTTATTAAATAGCATTGATGAGGCAGTCAGCCAGAATGTTTAAGCTGTCCTAAATTAATGCCTCCTTTGTGTTTAGGGAGTCTGCTCTTGGTCTTACAAGTCCAAAAGCAGAATATCACAAATTCACATAGAAGTGATCAGGATCTAGAGACTTGATCTATGCCATGCAGATTCACAGGGCATTTGTTTATAAAATTTGTGCTAGAAGATTACTTGTGAACTAGGGACAAACCCTTAATTATGAATAGGGAAACCCAGAAGATAAAGCTGCATTCAAAGTCTGCTTGATGGAAACAGAAACATCAAAAGATAGCCTTACAGGGAAAAAGTTAAGGTATTACCACAAATGTATACATGAAATGGCCAATAATTTTATTTTATATTTCAAATAACTAGAATTGTACAGAGTTTAATTTCACAGCTTTAGGGCAAGGATAAACTCATTTTTTATTTTTGCAGTAAAAGGTATAAATATTGAAAATTATGTAGGTTTAAAACTTAACTATGATACAGACACATTCTCAAATTAATGAATTTTACTGAGATTTTTATATCAAACTTACTGATATTTAATGCAAAATAATAAATATTAAGATTCTTGGTTGTACATTATAAAATGCATCACAGAGCAATTTATTGACACAAAAGAACCATTTTGGCTCATGTAATTGAAAAGTCTAGGAGTCACATCTTCAGGCATCGCTGGATCCAGGTGCTGAAATGATGTCATCAGGCCCAAAATGTCTCTTTATTGCTTGATTCTGCTTTCCTGAGTTGGTATCACCTAGGAGACTCTCTCTCTACATGCTCCATGGCTGCTCCAGGCTCATACATACTTAGTATTAAGATTTTCTCCTCTTCTTTAATATAAAGGAAATTCAGCTAGATGATCTTTACCTTTAGTTCAAAATTCTGTAATATATAAATAACTCGAAATAACTGGTAACAGTTAATGAAACATCTCCTGATTCAGTAAAGATAATGGTTATTTATAATTGAGTATTTTATATTAAAAAGTTCATTAAAGGTTTATTCTTAGTTATGTCAAATTTGCCCTTTGCATTTTTAGTAATTCTTTATGAGTAATACAAGCAAAACTACAACCTAGCACAAGTTGAAGTATCACAAATTTCAAGTCAATTGCTACCATATTACAGAGATTTTAATATAATTTAGATACTAATATTAGTGTGTAGTGAAAAGTGTTTGCTAACGGGAAACTTGGCCCATTAATTGTCAATCAAGAGTCAAGATTTAGAAACCTTTTTTACAAGAAACAAGTAAAAACTGGGATGGGAGAATAACATTAGCAATTTCAAACCTCAGTTCATTCCATTAAAATGTTGATTGCCTTGGGAATAGATTCTGTTACAGGAGAAAAAAAGTGTGAATTCAAACACTTAAGGAATAAACTACTATAAAGTACAATGTGCTTTATCAATTAATTAAATTTGAATTTCACGGAATGAAATATAAGTCAACAAATATGACAGTTTATGTTTGTTTAATTATGGAAGAATCATTAATAATTTGATAATTAAATGGCCCTGAATGGTTAGACATGTTCTCCGCATTTAAATAAATAGTATGAAAATATTCAAGTAATTTCAACTTTAGAGACCACTTATGTTTAGTTTAGGTAGAGTTCCAACCTAATGGTAATAAGATTCCAGATCCTAAAGATGTCATGTGAATATTGCTCTGAAAAACCAAAATTAAAGCTTTCTTAAAGATGCTATGTAGGGCTGAGAGGTTTTTCACTTGTTCCAGTGAGAGCTGCACCATTAACAGTCTTCAAGTTCAGCAAGTTCTGCCTCAAGAGAGCACCAGAACAGCCACTTATGATTTATTTCATGACTCTGAAACTATTACTCCCTCCAATGGCTGTACAAAGCCAATATAATGTGCACTTGGATACCTAATCCCTCATGGCTACTGCACAATGCTTAGGTTGTTTATATTTGGAAGTCAGAAAAACATGTTGCTTGCAAGGCATTAAGATGCATGAGGTCACTTAAAGCTGTTGATTGTATTTTCATTATCTGTTGGCACTTAGGGAAGGCATTTCCAGATAATTGTCTTCAGTATGGCTGGTCATTAGTTCTCTAATCTGTAATTTAGACACTGCTGTCAAACTAAAACATCCAGTCTTTGTTAAGCTCTATTTTTTATCACTTGCCCTAAGCTATGAGCAAAATGCCTACAGTGACAATAACACATTTATTAAATTGCTATATCAACCCATTCACCACTCAATCCAGCCTAGTGTTGCTATTAAACTTTCTCTAGATGTCTATCCTATGGGCTCTCATATCACCCAATACATATCTTCACCATGTCAGTATTTACCTGCTAGGGAGGTGGCCTTACCCTATACTTGAACATTTCTTAAAGCCTGTCTTAAAGACTAGTATCTTGTAAGTCTGGTTACATCTAAGTTCCCAGCACTTAGCAGTGTCTGGCGTTTGGTAACTCTCATTGTTTTTTGAACAGATTGTTGTAAAGTTAGTTGTTTTTCTTCCTTGGCACCAACCTTAAAGGTTAGAATCACCATTCCAAAATTTCCTTTCCATAAATTCATATACGTCTTTTGAAACTCTGTACTGCCAGCCTTTATCATACCTGAAAATCTGACCTGAAAATGTGTCAGCTCAGTTTAATTACTGCAATCGCCTCCTAACAATTTGCCTCCAGTTTCTCTTTCAGGTTACCAATTCTGTTCAATGCATCCAAATTCATGTTCCTTTAACACACTTTACATTTTTAATCCCCTAAAAGCAACTTGCTGCTCTAAGAATAAAGTATTAACTTTGCACTAGTATTGAAGGCCATCTTTTCCCTTCTCACTAATTTTCAATGAAAAATTTATTTAGATAGTGAGTTGGGGGTCCCCAAGATCATACTGAGGTTCAATGATACACTTGGAATCATAGGACTCAGAAAAGCGGCTATGCTCCCAGTTACAGTTTATTACAGTGAAAGGATATAGATTAAAATCAGTAAATGGAAAAGGTATGCAGGGTGAAAATCAGGAGAAACCAGGCACAAACTTTAAGATGCCCTCACCCAGTGGAGCTGCACAGACAGCACCTAATTCAGCAACGGTGTTTACCAACACTTGCAAAGTATTGCTAATGAGCTCTCTTGAGCCTTGGTGTTCAGGGTTTTTATCGGGGTTCAGTCACATAAATATTCAGCTCCCTCATAACTGACCTTAGCTACTGAATCTCCAGTTTCCCAGAGCTTAAACTGTAACAGCAAGGCCCATGGTCTCAGGCATACAAAAGCACTTGTAACAGGTAAGATATCCCAAGGACTCAAGAGGTTTTCTTCCAGGAACTGGTGAAACACAGGTCCTTTCTTTGCAATATAAAGGATTTGAGCCTTTACTGTACAGAGAGGTCAGTCTACTCCTTATTAGTCAACCACATCTTACTCCTTCCTGCCTTCCTGTCTGCCAATTTGAAGTTTTCCTAACCATCTATGGAAATCCTTACTATCCTTAGACTCCAGCACAAGTCATCCATTTCCATGAAGATTCTCCTCCAA